CTACTGAATTATTCATACTACGTATTTCTTAGGTACATCAACCAATGTACAAAGATATTAAAACACGTGTATTAGGTACATAGTAATTAGTGGATACCCAAGCGTTAGGTAAGTGCTACTTTAAAATACATTAACAATAGGTACTTAATACAATGCTGAACAGATAATTGGTGCAATTAATTTTAGAGTGGGGCTTTAGTTAGTTCTTTGCGATACGGTGCCGTGTTACAGGATAAAATGTGCAGATGCATAGTTACATTATATATACAGAACATAAATTCATATACATATATACAGACATTTTGTGTACAGGCACATTAGATACATGATTCTTCAGTGCGTAATAGATGTATATTAACTACATAGTGCCAAGATATGTGATAACACTAGTAGATACATGGGTACAATTACATATAAACAAGGACATACACAATTACATATAGACAAAAGCGTATATACGCTTATATTTGATACATAATAGTCATTGGTGACATAAACATTTGGTACTTACTTCATATACTTAAACTCTAGATCCATAAAATAATGTTATAACTAGTAATAGGTGCTTATTAATTTCATAAGACACTAGGTTGATATTTTGCCTTACTGTGTCACGTTACGTAGAAATGTATGCGGATGCATGGGTACAGCTTCCTATTTACAATGCTATACTGTTTTCCTATTTACAATGCTATACCTATTTACAATGCTTATATCATTCGATTTGATAATCAATAGGTACATGGCACATTTATATACATGAGCAGATGGTACATTGTAGAGTGCCGTTGAGGATAATTTATGCAATTACTTTTATAGTATTTTAAAAATAATGCATGTATACGCAATTATAAGGTGCGTAATTGTCATTGGGTGCATATACATATACATATTCATATATTAGTTTCTTAATACAATGCTAGGGCAAGTAATTGGTGCTGTTATTTTTATATGTAACATGATGGTGTAGGTGATAGGATGGATAAACTAATATATATACTAATATACATATACCCAACTTTTAGGCACATAATAATCACTAGATTCTCAGACATTAGGTACATGGTATACATATACATATATAAACAGATGATTCATAATACAGTGCTATCGAAAGTAATAAATGCAGTTAATTTTATAGTAAGATTCTAGTTTAACACTATGCGAAACGGCTTCATGTTACACAGTGTTAAATACTGACGCATGAATACAGTAATATTTCTACTTGTTAATACTATATATATATAAAAAATATACAAATATTTAGGTGCATAATTAACATAGGATACATAATTATTAGATGCACTATACATATACGTACATAATACATAAGCAACATTAGTACAATGCTGGAAGAACAATTCATTGGTGCTGTTAGTTTTAGTGTAAGATCCTAGTTTAACGCTGTGTGGTACAGTGCCATGCTACAGGATGATATGCGCGGAGCCATGGATTCAGTATATATACATACTAAAACACGTATACACAATTATTAGGCACGCAGTAATCATTGGATTTATAAGCATTATATACATGGTACATATACAGACGATACATAATATATAAACAATATATATAATATATATTAATAATAATAATGCTATAGAAGTTAGTTAATGCAATGGATTTTTTAGAATTAAGACTTTAGATTAACACTATGCGGTAAAGTGTCATGTTGCGTGATGTTATATTCGGATGCATGGTTACATTATCATACATACGAGGATATATATACATAGTATTAGGCACATAGTAATCATTGGGCTCACAATCTTAATGCACATAGTACCTTAGTCTCGTATACTTGAAAGTACGTAATAAGGTTTAATTGGTGCTATTAATTTGATGACGCCAAATAATATTAATACAATAATGCAGCAATGATTAATATAGTTAATGATCAATACAGTATCATTTATACTAGAACATATATATACAAATACAAGACGCATAATTACATTGAGTATAGAATCATTGGGTGCATTATACATATACATACATAAAACATAACTAGATGGTGATGGTACTTAAGATACATTTATAAACAGGTATAGATGGTCCTTATTTACATATTGCGGTACAGATAATAGACATAATTCGTTTGGTTGGCATAATGCAAATTGATTAAATAGTTGATTCTTGCTATATTACTAGGAGTGTTGGATACTCCTTACGATAATTCACAGTTATTTTGTGGCGTTGGTAGTTGGTGCTAGACACTGGATTACTATTCGTCTATAGGGCTGACTAAGTATGGAACAAGTCTGTGTCAAAGTCGGCCAGTTTATCCATTAAAAGCCCTATTTTTCTAACCAAGTGCCTCTGTTTTATAAAAAACTTAGAGAAAGCTTGTCGATTGGTCGACGGAAGGTTGACGTGTAGCCCTTCTGTAAGGAGACAGGAGGTCAGATAATGCTCCGGAGAGCCAGTCTGTCCACAGGCGCACTGGCTAATGTTACTTATCCCGTGTTTGTTAAAGTACTCGGGAAATGGTCCGTGACCCGTAATGTATCTTACCAATTGCATGTTTGCAAAATTTTTGGTAGTGTCCACGTAGCTGACATGGTAATAAGTCCGTCGGCCGGTATCGCTGTTATCCCATGTCTGCTGCCATTTCCCGATTGCCTTTAAGCGCAATGTTCCTTTCAGGTAACACATTGGCCATGGGATGTTGATTTGTTGAGATGTTGCTCCTGTGGCAGCTTCTTTGGCTAGATGGTCAGCCAACTCATTGCCGTGGTGGCCGGCATGCGCTTTGATCCATTCAAGTCTTGTATGGAGTTGGGAATTTTTTTCCCAGATCTTCCTGTATTCCCTGAATAATATCGGATGGGGGGTCTTTGTTTCCTATTGCGTATAGCAAAGAAAGAATGTCTGTCTTTATTGTAGCGTTGTGGGAGTGGTGGGATTGCAGGTAGCGGATTGCTTGCGCAATTGCCACTGCTTCTCCCTGAAAAACGCTATTAAATTGCCTTAGTTGACCCTTCCATTGATCTATGACTGTACCTTGCAGCATGACCACATAGGCACTTCCCATGTTTCGTCCTTGGAAAACCTTCTATTGGTTATTAATTAGCGTTATTAGTTAATTAAAAATGAGAATAATGAACTATTGAAGAAGTTATATGAACTCCTACCTTGAGCACTATAACTTCATCTGTTTTTCATCTGTGCAAAACATCATGGTAATCCAAAAGGCACAATAGCTGAAGAATAACACACTAATCACAGAGCTGCACTAATCACACCGTACGGAGAAACACTGAGGGTACTGAATAATATAGACACTGGTAGTTCAGGCGCGAATCTCTCAGGCACTTAATGTAGCTTACACTATTGAAGTAATCGGAAAAACGTAAATTGATGTATGGAAATATGCAAATTCATTAACTATGTGCTGCATACATAGTTGTCACTCATCACGGAATTTACCAAGTCCGAAAAATTGCAGATGGAAATAATATCTTCTGAACTAATTGTCCAAATTTCACCACATTTTGAAACTTATGTCGCTCTCTTAGTGACTAGAACAATGATGCTGGAACTGAAGAACTGGCTTAATTATTTCCCGCGCAATCACCGAAGAAACAATGCTCCACTTGCCAGTATTCACCTTTGTTAGTAGAATGGGAATCGAATGCTACGGGGGGGGGTAGATTGCATCCGGTCGACCGTTGACTTTGCAGAAAGGTCAAAGTTCACGGAATTACACACGAAATATGTTTAAAAATTAATAACTCGACTTCAAATTCAGCTACAAAATTGTAACTAGTAGCAAATTACTCGTGAAGATATTACTCATCCAATGGTATAAGACACAAGGCACGTCGGCAAGCAGCGGCTGCTGGGAGGGCACTTGTAGTCGTGTAGATAGGTTTACACTGTAATCCTCTGTGTAGAAAACGTAATTAACTCGTAATTAATTTAATAAGGCACTTAGCATCACAAATTTTGCTATACCCGCATTCCTTGGGATGTTGGCTATACAGAGCAACTACTTTTGAAATATAAATCGCAATATTTCCACAGTTATTAAAACAAAAGACGGAGCGTCGTGGAAAGCGTGTAACTAGTACGTACGCTACCTCCATAATGTGACGTGAAGGACACAGGTTAACTTTCAATACTGAATGCTATTTTTAGTCCGGATAAAGATGTAGACACACATAACTTTTTCTACATCTACATGTGTGTGTGGCCTTCTAAATAAGGGTGCGTCTTATATACCAGTGCGTCTTATATGCCATCAAATACGGTAATTTAGATACATTTGAATTTAAAATGAATATACAGCCATTGCATACTATATTTCATTTTATATATAATGTTTTAAAATAATTATGAAATGCAGATAAAGCCAGCTGTTAAAATAAAGGAGGGTAGTTTTTGGTATATACTAATATAAACGCAATTAAATTTTATTCAGTGATTTCAGCGTTTTTTGAAATCTAGTTTGCTAGTTTGTTAACTGATTAAGGCAAAGCATACGAGAGGTATCTTTGCTCATTTTCTAATAAATGCAATTAAATAATTTTTATCATGAACCACATTAGTTATGAAAATATGTCTTGAATCCTCTTTTTTAAGAGTTTGCTAAGAAACATGAGCGTGGGAACATGTTTTCCTTTGCATCGAAACGCACGAAAAAGAACCGCGATATATTCATTGCTCAACGGGTAGAACTTTAAGTTTCGCAATAACTTATTCGTATTTCTCAACAAAATCTTGCCACATAAATTATTCATTCTTATTTGGAGCGCAAGAGAAAGACTCGCTTGATGAAAGACTTCCTCAACTTGTGGTATACAATTCATATTCTACTACAAACTCTAGTCTGAATTCTCAAAATGCTATATCAGCATATAAATGCGGCCTTTAAAGGCACGTTTCTTGATTTGAGGTAACCGATTAGGGACGAAATAGAATTTGTACAATTGTTATGGTTGCATACTTAAGATAACAAATAGCATTTTCACTCGCATATAAAACTGGTCTCAGGTATGTACGATGACTCTCAATTCACGATGTTTCGCGTAGAAAATATTGTTTTTGTTTATCTGACTATATGCATTTTTAACATCGATTCTGTATCCGTTCCTGCAGAATCAATCTTAGTAGTTCCAGTTGTGGAAGAATCTGTGATTTTAAAAGAAGCAACTGGCCCTTATGCATTTGGCTACCAACTGAAGGATGGTTTCGACGTTTATCAGCACCGACAGGAAGAATCAGATGGTAAAGGAGTAATTAAAGGCAGTTACGGGTATAAAGACGCAAACGGAGTTTACAGAATAGTTAAGTATACAGCAGATATCAACGGCTATCGAGCGATAGTCATTTCCAACGAACCAGGTTTAAATGGCCAGAACTCTGCGGATGCTACATTCGTAGTGGAAACACCACCTCCGTCAGTTACAGTTACATCAGTACCAGTGTTAAAAAAAACAACACTGCGATGAACTATATTAAGACATTTTGTATGATAATTTGATAAGATCATAATCTGTGATAAACATACAAATATTGAAGGAATATATGGGAATAAATCAACTCCAGATCTAAATTTGTGTCTAGCGAGATTCAGTTTTCCTACGATGCCTAAAATTCCCTTCAGCGGTTTCATTTCTCCTGTAAAATATATGTATTATTTTTCTTGCCAAAAAATACTCCATTATAGAAGAAAAGCGTTGATTATTTTCTTTATTGTCTGTTTGCATACATATTACTTCAGATAGTTGATTTATGACGCTATGAAATAGAAGGAATTCTTTCACTTGTTGAACATCTTTTGAGGCTGTATGTCAGCTTTAAATCTATGTTGCTGTACTATTCGATCTGAGATAAGAATACAATACATGTTAACAAGGAAACAAATATGAAACCGAATTCTACGTGCTATCCAGAATTCGTAAAAGTAGCGTCTCTATATTTTTCTTCTTGTATCTAGCTTTTGATGCGCAGAAGTGACTGAAACATAGTGGATGACAGTGACTTTTATTTTCTGTAACTCAATGATACTCAGATTTTGTGCTACTTTAACCTGAATACAACTGTTCTGTGATTAAAACTGAATGTAAAATTATTTTTAACTGATGTCTACCTATTAGAAGAAGTGACCTTTATGCTCTGGATAATTGAAATTAATCATGGGTATTACTAGTTTAATTATTACGAAGCAAATGCTGCGTATATCTAAATAAATTCGTGAACTAATAAGAGAGAAAGTGAATTTTCTTCTTAATAGTTTAAAATCGTGATTCTGTGCTTATTCTTCCTCTGTTTTGTTAACATCGAAACTTTTCTTCAGGTATGACATATTTTTGTTCGTTCAAATTAAATGTTCATTTAAGCGTTATATGCGTTCTGTTATATACATTAATTTCTCTCAAGCGAAAAGGCATCCAAATTATTTCAATGATATTATATGATTGTACATAAATTCATTCTGTATTTATTAATGCTTTGGTCTTATGCAATGCATATTAACTAGTGCAAATTTTAAGTATGATACGCCTTACAACGCTTTGAAATTAATTTTATCGTAATTACCTTATTAGTCCTTACATAAATCAATTATGCTATTAACGTCACAATTTTGCTTTATTAGCATTAAATTTATGCAATTTTTTTTTTAAATTTCAGTGGTGCACTTTACTTTAGGTTTAATTAGAAACTCTTCATATTATACTTTGCAACAAAGTAGGCTAAATCTGAGACTTGTCTCGATTCAGCAATCCGGCAGAACGATTTATGCAAAAAGAAGTTCCTTGGATGTATTCTCAGATAGAGTTCTAACATTTAAAATTAAAATATCGAATACATTTTTAATAATAATACTTCAGATTCCTTTAATAAAGGAAGTAATTCTGCGCCATTAATTTCTAATATTTTCAAAAAGGTTATTTTCTAATTTACCTAACATTTTTATTCTTATGCCTTATTTTTGTGATTTTTTAAAGATTGATTTATATGTTATTTCTTGAGTTTGTGACATTACATTGCTGTTGTAAGGAATTATCTCGCTTGTGCAGGCTCTCATCATAAAAGCGGGTAGCACGCCTACTTAGCAATTGGAAGATCCATGAATTCCAGTGAGGACAGAATTAATTTTTTTTACTTTTGTTTGAAGAGCCTAATTGTCCCTAAATTGGTGTCCGAATTGAAATCTGTCTGATAATAATTAATTGTTACTCGGATTTGGTTGCAATTGGGTAGTTCATCTAGCCAGAAATTTGTAATCCATGTTTTCAATCATGAGGATCCTGATTTGAAGGAACATTCTTTCTAGCTTTAAAACACCTAATAGATTTTAAAATAGAAGTGTTTCATCGAACTAGTCTGTTTGAAATTAATGGAAATTTAATCTACATTGATTTAGTTAGACAAAGCGAGATAAATGTATTCACTCAAAAATAACATTTACTGAAGTATTTTGGATGCATTTAATTAATATTATTTCTGTCTAGAAACAAAGGAGATGTATTACTTCTATTATATTCGATAAGCAGATGTAGTGAACTGATTTAATTAGAAAGAATTACACTCACTTAAATTACTCAAACAAACCAATACTGTGTTTTAGTTGATTAAATGTACGAAATGACATGTTAATGAAATAAAAAAGACAGCAACCTGATAGAGGCTTTTGATCGATCCTATGTAAAAACTAGATGGATATGAATTAAGTGATTGACGAGTTTGAATCAGTAATCAGCAAGACATTCACCGGGATTTGAACTACGGGTTTCCTGGTTGCCGCATTTCTATTTACATCCCGAAAGCACGTAGCAAGAAAAGCGAAAATTCTTTACAGAGTAATATAATAGTATGCATATATATTTTATGATAAAATGAATCTGTGTTCAAACATGATTGACAATATATTAATAAAATGGCACAACTGTTTTCGCATTAAAGTTACTTTTTTTTAAATCCGAAACCAAATGAAGAACATAGCTGATGCAGGGTAAAAATTTTTTAATATTTATGAACTATTCTGGTTTTGAGAGTACTTTTAAAAATCCATGCTACGGGTAGGTAAAAAACAATTTTATATATTTTAGTAGATTAACTTCTATGAATGGAATATGAGTGGTATGTTTTTTTGGTTTTATCATATTTCATTATATAAGTAATTTACAATTTCTTCCATCACTGTGTGATGAATGAAGAGTTTACAATTTTTCCATCACTTATTATAAATATTACCACCATTGTACTTTAATTCCGCTTACATAAAATATATCACATTACAAATAATTCAAATAATTCAATTAATTAAATTTAGAATATTAATTTATAAATATTTTTATGAACAACTAAAATATACTTGTACTGTATATTTTACTTGTTTTCTGAGTTCTACGAATTCTTTATTTATACTAATGTATGTATTTAAGAAAGCAACTTCCTTTATATCAGCCCGTATTATATTGGGTATTATAATAAAGAAGAAATGCTAAGGTGAGATACTAAATACGTATTACGCCTATCAATTGACCTATATAAAAGATTTCCAATTCTGATATAAAAATTCTGAAGTTATCTTAATACAAGATAACTGTACAAGATAACAAGATATAATATCTTGTATTAAGATAACTTCAGACTTTACATATTGTTTCAAAGAGCATTCAGTTATACATATTGTTTCAAAGAGCATTCAGTTATACATATTGTTTCAAAGAGCTTTTTAATTTATCAGATATACTGTTAACATTAAATAATACGCGGATATTCAAACTCATAATACATGGAAGTAAAGCCTTAGTTTTTATCAGTCCAAAGAGGCGTTAGCCCAGAAGGACTGTTAGTCTCGAAACGGCATTTTGCGTGGATCGGAAATTCTAAAGATATGCTGTTTTTAAATATTTTAAGCTTAAAGGGGCATTAACCGAAATGCTCTTGAAACATGTACGTATGTGTAAATGAAAAACAAAATACCCATCTGGACGTAATATAAAATCTGAAAACTGTCAGATTTTGTTTTTCGAATTTTTTTATTTTTTATCAATTATTCTTTATCAGGATGGTATTTTATTGCAATTATTACTAAAGTTACTGTAATAAAATAAAGAACTGTATTTTATTACAGTTTATTATTATTATTTATTGCTGCCTAAACTTCAAATATGAATTATAAATTATTATGCAAGCTTGTATCTGAAAGAATTTATTTATGAATTCATCAAAATGTGTATATATTATTAGTATAATATATACATAATATTTATTCATATTTTTTATGTATTCTGATATACTTACGACTTACGAACACATACACACATGCGCACATATGTATATATTTACATACATATACGCATGGATATCAACAAAGTTTCAACTTTCACACAATCCCAGACAGATGTATAAATTTTTTATAGGTTTAATTTCGTTTCTTCCTTTTATTTTCGTGCAAAAAAAATTGAGGATCGTAAATGCTTTTTTTTTAAAAAACAAAGGATAAAAAAAGTAATTGTAAACTTGGTAACTACAAACATGGTAATTATAGTAATACGGATAACAAACAATACAAGCATAAGTACTAATTGCTCATAACGTAAATTTTATTTTTATAGATTTTATTTCCTATCTTGTATTTTTATAAATTACTGCATAGTAACATAAGTAACGATATGCAAATAAAATTCGCTTTTAAATATCAATGAAATCTTATGATGGAAAACAAATTCAAACGCGAGACATTTTTCCAAAAAGACTTCATGTTTTTCAGAATGGTAAAATTAGACTTTTAGAAATGTCACTCAAAGTCCGAAAGATTTAATTTCTAAATGTTTCAAAAAAAAAAAAAAAAAAAAAAAAAAAATTCAATTTCAGAAGCAATTTATAAAATAGCAAATTTATAAAACTGAGTTATTTTACTTACCTTGAAAAGTTTTAAATCTTAACACAACAACATCGTAAATAAATAACAGGTTTTATTTATTCAAATTATGAAGCAATATAGTATTCAGTTATCAAACTTAGTTTCGTTATTCAGCCGTTTCATTTTCTAACGAACAAACCGTATATGTAAATAAAAATGCCAGAATCCTTGAATTTTGAAGGCCAAATTATTGAAATAAGGACATAAAATGAAAAAACGCGCGCCGGATTGTGATGGTTAGGATTTCACATCGCGAACCCTCACCGCCTTCACGCATAGACTGGACATCGTGAAAAGCTGTCGAACTTTGACCACATCAAGAAGAGCAGAGAAGCACTGCGTCATAGTAGCGTTTATTCACAGGAAACTGATATATATCCTTGATTCTTCAATGAACACGTGACTGTAAAAAGGAGTTGAGATTTGTAAATAGGGTCTGTCTCTCCAAAAATCGTTAGTTTAACTTTTGTTTTTCGAATTTCCTTGTGTCTTTTATTGATCTCCTCTTCTAGGACTTATATAACCTTCTTGAATTTTCCGGAGCATTTAATTGCATCAAATCCATTTCATAATGCAAAGGTATAAACTCATTTCTCAAGAAAGAGGAAGATTTAAACTAGAGACAGAAGAATCCTAAATTTCCTCCAATCCGAATCATGAAAGTTTCTCGAATCTTTCAAAACATTTTATATCATTATATATATATTAAACATTTATATATATATATATTGTTGAACATTTTATATCGGAATAATAAGAATCAGGAAAAAAAAACTTTAAATACTATTGAATATTTTTATTAAGATCAAAATTGGAAACCTACGTTTAATCAAAAACAAACTGAAGAATATTGTTTCTAAAAATATTCTTTTATAAATTAAAGAGATAAAAAGGAAATTTCTCAAGTCAGATACATAATTAAAACTTTTGAAATCAGAAGCTTACTTTCTCAATGTAGTTTGATTGAGATGTGGTGCGATTGTTCTGTTTTATTGCACTTAACATGGGAAAAGGATTACGGCTTGTTTCAAAAATTAATATGCATAAATAATGCGAAACGTTCTCCAGAAAATTAAAACAATTCAAAAACGTATTTTTAGATTTATTTTGAGTAAATACCTGAGTAAAGTTTAACTTGAAATAATTAAGAAAATAGAAAACGTGTTTGTTTCTCGATGAAAGATTTTATTAGAAATCTGTAAGATTAACCTGTCTAAAGCTGTGAATTAAAAAGTTTAAAGATTATTGGTTTGAATTCGAAGGATTCTAACAATCGAAACAAGTGCGAAGATTCGAGTTTTCGAAATCTCGAAACATTTTCGACTCGCAGACTTCGAATGTTTCATTCCTAACATAAACTTTATGGAACATGATAAGGCTTTCAATAATCCAATGGAAAGAAAATTTCGAAATATTCAAAATTCAATTTTAAATTCTTAATTTCATATTAAACTCTTTAAGTGATAATTCAATGTGGTAATATTAATGAAACATTAATATATATTGAATGTGGTAATTGTAGTACTGGTAATTCTACATTTCACTATTAATGTATAAGAATCCGCTTCAAATTCGATTTTGAATCAAAATATTGCTTTTCCATTTTTCTTCTAATCTTATAGTCTGACTTTTTGCCTTCCCGAGCTGCTAAGTTCATTCTCTGAGTTTTAAAATATGAATCGTAGTTATTTCAATTCAACTTGATGACATTTTAGACCGGAAGTATTGTTCTGCTAACCGGAAGCATGCTTTAATAATTATTGACGATGTAGTTTCCTTAAATATGAGCATAAAAGTAATTATTGATTAAAAAAAAGGAAAGATTCATATCCTTAATCTTATCCTAATATCCATTCATATCCGAGATAAGTCTTGTTCAGATGTCTGGCAATAAATGTGCGATTTTTATCTTCTTATTATTTTTTTGTTTTTTACTTATTACGTGCTCCGCCCTTAAAGGGATAATATAAGAGATAACGGGAAGGGAGGGATGCCCCGTGGAGGTCTTTTTAAGGGAAACTGGCTTGTATCCACGTTACACATGGGGGAAAACCACGAAACCGCCCATGCAGCCAGCCCGTTCGTCGTGATTCGAACCCCAGACCGAACTACCAGTGTTCAACGGCTTTTACCGCTCGGCCGCTGGTTGGGCCCTTTTATTTTATTTGTTAGCATCTATGAGATTTTAGTTTTCTGGCATCGATCTCCTGCATTCAGAAATCCATTTCAAAGAAAATATTGCAGTATACTAAGTGCTGTACTTTATTATCAAACTAGTATACATAGAATAAAGCTGAAGAGAATTATTAGAGAAATATCTGCATTGAGAAATTCAAAACACGAATGCGAGTTTTAATGGTGGTTCATGCTTATCTGAAAGATATTTCCTTTCGAACTGAAATTGTGTGAGTATGATGAACTTAATTGACATAAAGATGGGTTTCAGCTGTACTCAATATCATCAAACCAGTATACGTAGTGTGAAGCTGAAGAGAATTATTAGGAAAATAGCTGCAGGGAGAAATTCAAAACACAGCTGATAGTTTTAATGGTGGTTCACGGTTATCTGAAAGATATTTACTTTCGAACTGAAATTATCTGAGTATGATGAACTTAATAAACATAAAGGTTGGTTTCGGCATTGCTTGAAAATGTTAGCTCAACTAAGCATAGAAAATCTCATAATTTTCGCATTGAAGGACCATAAAACGTTCTGTTAGCAACATGCTATTCCTGTTCTAAACACGCGTATAAAATTTTGAGAGTAATAAAGAAAGGAATATTTTAGATAGTACAGATTATGAAATTTATAAATAAGGAACATTTGAACAATGAAACAAATCATTTATAGGATTCTGGAGTCTTTAGTTAGACACAAATTACAAGTTCTTCTAAGTTTTTGAATTGTTTTCACAGTTGTCACAAGTTTAACATCTATAACATTTTAAGCTGCTGGATTATATAAGAGATAATTGATCATACCTAAAAGAAGATTATAAAAATCACAATAAAATTTACAGAATAAAATTATATAGATTGAGACTTGAACCATCGTAGTTTCTGGAAAAGTTAATTTTCGTATTATGAACCTATTTTTCTATTTCAGAATTGAAAAAAATAATGGATATATTTTTTCCCACATTAAGTTTCTAAATATTTAGTGATATTTAATGAATAACGAAAAACAAATTTCAAATAATTTCAAAAAATCTTTTCCGAAGGTATTCTGATACCTTATAAACATTTGAAAAAGGAAACGAATTATTCAAGCTGGAATTTCTTGATGAAATTGCTGTCATGAATCAACAAGATTTAAGAGATTTGCTTCTAAAAACTATATTAGAAATTCTATGAAGGAGAAAGCAAACATTTACAGCAAAATTTAACAATGTTAAACTACCAAATTTAATCATTATTATTTTGACATTTTAATGGACATAACTTACACTTGGGGAAAGTATCGTAAATCTTCTATATTATTTTCCATTTCCTGCATGTAAGTTATAATCATCTGAATTTAACTCATACAGACATATATTCGCATACGGATACCTCGTGGAAGCCATTAGAAGTATTAGATTTGATATTAGTGTATAGATTTGATTAAGTAAGACACTAAAGTTTGTTTCAGTAAGACACTAAAATTTGTTTCAGTAAGACACTAATTACTGAAACAAATTTTCCGCGACTCTTAGAGTTTCAAAAGTAAATAAATTATTGAGCAAAAACATACCTGAAAATAAGGGCTACTTGTACATTGCATATGAAATCGAAATTTCGCCTTTTTGAGGCGAAAAAATTATTTTCGCCTCAAAAAGGCGAAAATAATTGCTCCTCCATTACTAAACCATCCCGGTTTTCAAATGAGCTTAAAATCTTACTACTATCTACGATGTAGAAGCATATCATACATTGCAATGGCCAATTATTTTCAGTTTATACAAGAAAGAGCAAAGATCAAGATGGTCTTGATAATCAAGATGGTATTGATCAAGATGATTCCCTCACTAGAGACACATCGTGGGGCCCAAATGAATGGCTTAAGATAATTTTCAAGATGGATCGTACACAATAAATTCTAAGAAATATTTGCTTCTTAGGGTGCCATGGGTTATCCAATGACTTTGTCAGCGGTTTAATGTGCTGATAAAGATTATGTATAAGTACTTGATAGGAATAGACATCAGAATCGATGGATGTCGTCCTGTATTTTCGCAGGCTAAAAATAACAGTGATTGGTTTCCGTTTTCCTTCCAGAATTATAAATGGATCTACTTCTTGTTTTCACTCCCAATGAATGACCCAGCGTAAGCCATCGTTATCTTCCAAGGCAATTGTATACCAGTTGAAACTGATAACTAAACTGTCTGAGTAAATATTTTTCAATTAATACGATAGCGTAAACAGATCAGTTTCTAAACTCAAGAAGATAAGTGTAATTTCATTCAGAGTTAAAACATAGTAAGATGAGCAAATATACTTTCACTACCAGGTGTAATTTATTCATTGCACATCACATTATAAGGTATTTCTCCCGCTTTCTTAGCGTGCCTTTGTGGTGTAGTGGTTCTGCACGCTGGGCTGGTATTCCAGGGGTCCGTGGTTCGATTCCCGGCTTAGGCGATTGCTCATTTTTCAACCCTCCTGCCTCAAAATAACCTAATTTATCTACAACATGTATTCACAGATGTGGAATACCGCGTTCTAAAATGCTTATCTCAAGAGCTCTGAAATTCCGTATGCATTTCAATTGCAGTTCTTTCGGGAGATTGCCGTGAAACACAGCTCTTTCAATCCAATGCCACACCTGAACAACTAAATTAAAAATGGTGAGCCCTATTGACGAATTCTGAGCATTGGAAGTTGCGTGAGATAAGCGGTATTCAAAAGTGTTATTTTGCCCAAAAAATGCATTTCCTACTTGATGCTGAAACAGTATTAAGTTTGTCCTAATAACAATGCTAATTTTATGCACTATTCTTCAAAGCGGCTGAAAACACTTTCACTCCTAAACCTGTTACTTTCCCCAATAGACCATAATGCCATCTTTCTTATGTACTTGTCTACTAGTATGCCTTAACTTTCATGTCAGACAGACAGATAATAAGAATCCTATTTTCAGATTAAATCGCATCTTATTTGAGAACAAAGCAATGATCCATTGCTGCGTCGTCCAGGTTTGGTGCATTTGACACCACTGCGCCTTCGTCTAGTTAGCATCACATATATACTGTCCTACGTTGTTTAAACGCTAAGCTGCGATTTGACTAGATATCCCCGTTCCGATGCTGCTACAAAGGCAACCTGCAAATCATCTGATTATATAGCA